AGATTTTTTGTTCTGATGATGCCTTACACCTGATCCCTTCGACACCTCGTGGTTGCATAGGCTGGTGTGCTTCTTCCATGTGGGCTTTGTTATGGCCTTTATTCTATTGAGAAATTAACCTTCGATTCCTATTCTGTTGAGTGTTTTTGTCATAAATGGGCATTGGAAATTGTCCAAAGCCCTTTGCATCTATTGATATGGTAGTCATGTGGTTTTTTACTTTGTTTTGTTTATGTGCTGGATTGCACTGACATTGTTTTTCTAATGTCGAGCCATCCTTGCATTTCTGCTATGGATCCCACTTGGTCACTTGGTCACGGAAAATTATTTCATTTACTTAATTAGTTGGTATTTAATACATATATCAGTCCCTATTTTAATCATGGTCAAATAGAATGTACAGTTGCTCCTACAATCAATTTCCAAACATTCTTTTTCTATATGGACTCCTTGACATCATCTCCCTTTAAATCCCCCCCCCATACCTACCTCCTCCCAAACCCCGTATTCTTCTTACTGTCCTGTTAGGTTCATCAGTCCTTTGGTTCATATACCAGAAAATGGAAACGCATGCAACACAGCTTCAAGAAGGTGGCCTCGACTGACATAATACCTCTGAGGTGCACTCTACTATGAACAAAAACCCAGGAGCACATTACAAACCGGTTCTGTTGGCTAGAGTTTTATTGACAATTTTTGCATGTATGTTCATGTGAGATGTCGGTCTATAGTTTTCTTCCTGGTTTTGAAACTGGGGTTGTGCTTGCTTCATAGAATGAGTTAGGGAGTTTGCTAACATTGTCTATATTCTGGAATAGTCTGTGTAGTATTGATGGCAGCTCTTTCTTGAATACTGGAGAGAATTCCCCTGTGAGCTCTGGTCCTCGGTTTTTCTTGGTTCAGAATTTCTGGATGACCTTCTCTATTTTATTATGGATTTATTGATTTCATCTACATCTGTCTGTGTTAATTTGTGTTGATGGTGTATTTCTAGGCATTTGTCTATTTCTCCTAGGTTATCAAACTTGTTGGATTAGTCTTTTATAGTGGTGTATACAGTATAGGCATATTCTT